AACAGAGGCTCACACGGGTTAAATAACTGGCCCTTTGCCAAGAGTAAATGACTTGCCTCCATCAGAGGTGTTATTTAGGTCTCTGTTGACTTCCCATCCAGAGTTCTTTCAATACATCATGCTGCCTCTCTCAAGAACAATTTCAGCCTCCCAGGAGGTTAAAGGAAGGTACATCTACTTCCTTTATTTCTGACTTCCCTCTTCTTGTTTTTTAAAACTCCTTCAAACTGTGGGATTTTTAGAGGTTTGTTGACTTCTCATTCAAAGGGAGAAACTTATAAAACACTTCTGATTTTTTGAAGCCCACACCATTATGCAGCTTTTTTCCAACATGCAACATTCCCTTCTCAGGGTACCTTTCAAAACCCAGAGCAAATCTAAAGCTTATCAACAATATTTCAGGGGCTGGTATCCAGTACTTCAAACAATCAATCAATAAATATTTATTAATCACCTACTATGTGCTGTGCACTACTTTAAGCTGAGCACTGGGGATACCAAAAGATGCAAATGACAGTCCCTGCCCTCAAGGAGCTTCCCTGGGGGAGACAATATGCAAACCAATATATACAAAGCAAGTTATAACAAGGTAAATAGGAAATAATTAACAGAGGGAGAGAACTAGAATTAAGAAAGGTTAGGAAAAGCTTCCTGAAGAAGGTGGGATTTTAGTTAGGACTTAAAGGAAGCAAAGGAGCTCAGTAATTGGAGCAGAGGAGGGAGGGCAATTCTAGGCATGGGGAACAGCCAAATAGAATCCCTGGAGCTGAGAGATGGAGTGTCTTGTTCGAAGAACAGCCAGGGGGCCAGTGTCTCTGGATCAAAGAGTACCTGTCAGGAAGTAAGGTGTATGAAGACTGGAAAAGTAGGAGAGAGCTAGGCTATGAAGAGCTTTGAATGCCATGCAGACCATAAGACAAATGCATGTAGCAGCAGCGCAGTTCCCAAAAAGCATCTCTGAGTTTGAAACTCCCTAGTACTTAGTTAGCTCCCCTAGAGCTAACCAGTGGACCATTTCATACATCACTGATGCATTTTACAGGCTGGTGGCCTGAAAGTGAGTGTACTTCCTTCTATACTCACTTCACTTAATAGGGTGATTGACTTAAGCACTGAGTGAGTCTAGTACCACCTCTGATTCTGTGTTTGAGCCCACCCTCTGTTTCATTGCAAGCCATGTAGAAAAGTGATATGGAGGACCAAAAAAAAAAAAGCATTGGGCTGAATAGCAATATGCTTGGATACACTTGCTTCATGTAAACACAGGGTAATTGTGAATCTTAATAGACTGGGTGTTTCAATTCTGCAATGGTCTGATTAGCATCTAGAATGCATCCAGTAAGTCTCTACAGACATCTTTGTCTGGAGGAGGTAGGGATACATTACTTCAGTCAGCAGGCCAGCCAAGTAATTCTCCTAAAAATATTTCATCCTGGGTTTCCATTTAGGTCATTTTTAGTAGCCTATCATACCTATTCATTCATACAGAATCTGTTGCATTATGGGAAGGAATAGGCAATGAGATCTAAGAGGAAGCATTGTGGAGATGTTCGGTTCTAGCCATCACTGCCAATAGTCATTAGTGGTTTGCTGTCATGTGCTATAATGAAACAGATTGACCTCTATGTATTTAAATGGTCTCCTAACACTAAGTCACTTCAACCAAGTAATTCTTCAGCAAATGTTTTTTTCAGATTTTTTCTGTCTGAGTGTCCATTGAGGTCATCTGGGAGACCATGGATGAAGTGGATTTGGATTCTTTTAGAATAATCATAATTCATTTTTATTTCTTTCTTCATGACTTAAAATCAGCACCATAATACCAACTTCTACGTACCTGACAAGAATAAGGGGGAGGCTTACAGAATGGTGCCTTGATATTCTTGAGCTTGTAACAGGACCATAATCTCTAATGCCCACCTAACCATTGTCAAAGAGGCAGCTAGGTGGCACAATGGATAGAGCCTGGAGTCAGGAAGATTAACTTAAATCCAGCCTCAGACACTTCCTAGCTGTGTAACCCTGGGCAAGGTAACACTTTAACTTCATCAGTTACTTCATCAGTAAAATGGGGTTAATAATAGTCCCTCCCTCCCAGAGTTGTTATAAGGATCAAATGAAACAATGGTTGTAAAGTACAATGTGACTGGCAAATAGTAGGTTCTTAATAAATGTTTTTTAACTTTTAAAATCCACTCTTGCCACATTCTCTTCTGTGACTTTGTAGAATTTAACAAAATTATATATATATACACACACACACACACACATACATGTATATATATAATTTGAATGTGTTACAAATTTGAAGTTTGACTCTCAATTTTAAAAAGCAGGGACCATCTCTACTTTTTTATTTATATACCCAGAGATTAACAGAGTGCTGCAGACATTTTAACAGCTTAATGAATGCCTTTTGATTTATTCATGCAATAAGGTTGAGGAAAAGTTTAAAGTTGTAGATTTTGCAAGAGCTTCTACATTATAGATGTTAAAAACCTATTTTTTAAAAAATATTTATCTGGAAATTAACACCACAGATTTCTCAAATTTAGCAATTAATTTCAAGAAAATTTTGTAAAAACTTTGAAGGTTTATAAAAGAAAAAACTATAGATATACAATGGGTCAAAGTTAATAATAAAGGCAAAACTAGGAACAATGATATTTTAATTCCAGTGATTAGATCCAAGATAATAACCTACACCTAGTTTTCCCTGTAATTTTCTAACTAAAGTTAAGGTAATTATGTGATTGTGGGTATCTGTTTTGTACATAGATATATAGAACATAAATTACCATATATGTGTATTTTGACACATCTGCACATGGACACACATACATGTACATATGTCTACATTACACATATACAAAGCATCAGGCATAAAATGGTTTTTATGTCTATTTTCTTCTAATTAATAAGAGTTTGCAGCTGCATAGTGACTTGCCACACTGGGTCTAGATGTATATATGTGTATATAAGTAAAAGCCAGTCTTTATTTCACTCAGATAATACATATTGGATAAGTATTTTAAATCTTTAGCTTTGAGGGGGATGGAGGAATGCATCTTCTACCCATCGGTGAAAGCAGCACCTAAATAGTTTCTCTTCATTTCATCAGGAGTAAGGAGAATTCTTTAGGGAAACGGTGGTTCACTAGTCATAATATCCGCAAGTGGGCAAGGTATTGAAAATACCTTCTTGCAGCCAGGGAACTGGCTTCCTGCCCTGCTAAAGCTTTTCCCCATTTAGTGGGCAGAAAGAGGTGGTAAGGGATAGAGGGCTACATGCGTTTCTCTATCTCCAATGTAAAGGGAGAATCAATCGACCTGATTTTAATTCTTAGGCAAATTAATGTGGTTCCCTATAGAGTTTCATTTAGCCAGGTACTCTGCCTGCTTAGAATGGAGAGTAAGGGAAAGGACTAGCAGGATCAAAGTGTTTGACCTCTAAGATCTCTTCTGTCTCTAAATCTGTGATCCTATGATCCATCCCACCCAATGACTTTGTGTCTTCATTCCCTTTGCTTGTGTGAAGAGCTTTATTTTATTTGGGTCGGGCTTCGAAGGTAAAAAGGGCTGCACCAAAAGTTCAGTTAACCCATGATGCTTCCAACCCTGGCAGAAGGGCTAGCCGTTAGAAACGTATCACAAAAACTCCATGAATTAACCGGCTACAGTTCTGTTTTCGCCAGAGTAAGGACACAAGCAAGACTCAGGGGACTGTTAAGTGTTAATTTTAATGTGCTGTTGCAAAGAACAGGAATTGGACATTTTCAGCGTCATATTTAAAATACGGTACATTGACTAATACGTGAAGTGGTGCGTTAATGGGCTAAATTAACTTACGGATATGAATTTTACATAAAATGGATTAATATTATATGTCATGGTGGAATTTTAAATACTCCATCTCCATGAATTTTAAATAGTTACGTGCTCTAATTTAATGCTCAAAACAATTGTTTTTGTTGAGCCTACTTTTGTGTTCATTTTGGACAGGAGCAAAAAAATTCCCCAGAACCCACAATAAGATTTTTGTTATTTCTAAAGTCTCCTTTCCTGGGATCTATATCCAGCATTCATTTAAGATTTTTTTTTTCAAAATGGAAAGGCAAGACACTTCAATCTAAGATTATATTTCTGGACTTGTGAAAAGGCTCTGCTCCAGATAATGAAAGAACGAAAGAGCACAATACATAAATGTGCCTGCGCGAAAGAAAACACGATCTGTCTTTCTTAAGGTGCTCTCAAAGCAGCAGTGACTGAAAGGATCAGTGGTGGAGGGTCTCTCAGAGCGGTCCCCCCCTCCCTTTTTTAATTGTATTAAGCTAATGCGAGGCTAGTGATGGGAAAGGCTGGCTACGAGGACACAGAGCTCCTCCGGTGCAGTGCACCGGCACACATTGTATATCAGCTACACATTCCCGCAGTTCTTCATAGGAACTTCTCATTCTCATTCTCTCTCTCTCTCTCTCTCTCTCTCTCTCTCTCTCTCTCTCTCTCTCTCTTCTCTCTCCTCTCTCTCTCTCTCCTCTCTCTCTCTCTCTCTCTCTCTCTTCTCTCTCTCTCTTCTCTCTCTCCTCTCTCTTCTCCTCCCTTCCTCCCTCCCTCTTTCCCTCTCTCTCTCCTCTCCCTCTCCCTCTTTTTCTCCTTCTCTCTCCCTCTTCTTCTCTCTCTTTCTCCCCTCCCTTGGGCACGCACCAGCCTTGCCCACCTTCTCTCGTTCTTTGAGCCCAGACCCACAGCGTTGACGGAATGGAGCATCCTTCTCATTGGCCCAGTCGTCATTCCCTGAGGTGGCACCGTCCGCCTGATTGGTTGGTGGCCGTGGACCTCCCGCCCATCCCCTTCATTGCCCCCCCCACGCCACCCTAAACCCCAACAACCCTTTCCACTCCCTCCCGCCCCTCGCGCCCCCTCTTTGGCTCGCGCTCCTCTCTCTGGGCCCGCGCGCGAGCCCCGCCCCCTGGCCCTCATTCTCTATAAATAAAGCTACGCTGCGGGCTGAGGAGAGAGCATAGTGGAGGCGAGAGAGTGTTCAGGAGAGAGGGAGTTAAGAGTGTGTTTCAGGGAGAGGGAGTGAGAGCGCGATCGAGGGAGAGCTCAGAGAAGGCGGAGAGGACACAGCTGCAGCAGCAGCAGCGGCGGCGGCGGGGGCTTTTAGTCTGAGCTCAGAAGGGAGGAAATAAGGACCGGGGGTGGGTTGGTTTCTTTTTCGTGCATGCTTCTTTCTTTAAAAAAAAAAATATTTTTTTTATTCGCACGGTCCAGTGGTGCTCCGCTGAACAAAAATTCCCTCCCTAAGCCCGGACCTCGCTTCCAGGGACAGGCGGCTCTCTCTGTCAATTGTATTGCCAAAGGACTAGGAGCGATCCTCCCGTGTGTCTTAAGCCTGGATTGAGGGAAGCGAAGGATAGGGACAGGGACAAGGAGCGAGCGCAGGCTGGGGGTGGAGGCGGCTGGGCTGCGGGTGTTCTTGCCCTCTCCTTTGCCCTCCCGGGTCTCCTCTTCGTGGCCGAGGCCAGAAACCGCTCCCAGAAGGGCGCGCACCATGAAAGCCGTGAGTCCCGTCCGCCCCTCGGGCCGGAAGGCGCCGTCGGGCTGCGGCGGGGAGCTGGCGTTGCGCTGCCTGGCTGAGCACAGCCACAGCTTGGGAGGCTCCGCGGCGGCCGTGGCTGCAGCGGCGGCGGCGCGCTGCAAGGCGGCCGAGGCGGCGGCGGAGGAGCCGTCCCTGTGCCTGCAGTGCGATATGAATGACTGTTACAGCCGCCTCAAGAAACTGGTGCCCACCATCCCGCCCAACAAGAAAGTCAGCAAAGTGGAGATCCTGCAGCACGTTATCGACTACATCCTGGACCTGCAGCTGGCGCTGGAGACGCACCCGGCTCTGCTGAGGCAGCAGCCCCCGCCGCCGCCGCCGCCGCTGCATCACCCCTCCTCCGGGAGCTATCCCGCCGGACCCCCCCGGACCCCTCTCACAGCCCTCAACACAGACCCGGTAAGAGGGAGCCCGCCATGGGCCTGGAGGAGCCAGGGAGGGGGATTGGAATGTGCCCTGGAGCGAACAAGCGGACGGGCAGCGCGGGGCGCCCGGGAACCGGAGAGGGACTTGCGCTGCGATAGGGGAGACTTAGGCTCTTGGGAACAAGGGTGTACAGCGAGCTCTCCAGGGCTTGTTGCGCGCGGGCGGGCCGGGGAGTATGGCTATATGGCTAGTGCGAGTCTCCTCTGGGATCCACCCGGGACAGTCTTCGCTGGGAAGGAAGGGCTATTGCTGTTAAGGAAGATCAGGACCAGACGGCGAATCAGGAGCTCAGGGGCTGGGGCCGGAGGATTTTATGTTGTTGTTGTTCAGGGTTGGGTGTGTGTGTGTGTGTGTGTGTGTGTGTGTTTGTGTGTGTGTTCCCTTTTCATTTGCAATCCGAGGTGGATGGAGTGGGGTGGGTTGCTGGACTGTGTCCAGGAGAGAATGACAGCTTCATCACTCCTCTCTTGTAATCGGGGAACCCAGTTTTCCCGATCTTGCCCACCCATTCATTCTTGATCGGTAACCGCCAGCCCTGGTGTGTGGATAGAACGGAGAGGCGGCCGGACTGGGCTGTCTGTCGCACTGTCCAGTCGAACCTATTTGCCTGATGGGTCTTGTTCAGGACCTGTTTGTCTGAGCACAGTGCTGTCCCTCTTAGAGAGAGAGAGATTGTGTGTGTGTGTGTGTGTGTGTGTGTGTGTGTCTGCACGAATGCTGTAGCCGCAGAACAAAACCTAGTGTCATGAATATGTTCAGTACTCGCTCCTGATAACTTTTCCGCCCTTCCTTTTACGTTTTTGTTACTGTTTCAGGCTGGTGCTGTTAACAAACAAGGGGACAGTATTTTGTGCCGCTGAACTGCATGCGCTCTTAAGGTGAGTGGTCTTTCTCTCCAGGTGCCCAATAAACCTTCTTCATCCAGCTTCTCCTTTCCCACCCCCTTTCCCACCTCGGGTCCACAGAGCATTTCACCAGAGCAGACTTTCTGTGACTCAATTCCCTTACACCCCTCCCTCCAACCTAGTTAACAAGTTAAGTCTGTTCTTGCCCTCCTTCGGTAACTTAGTGTTCACTTTAAATGGAGGCGAGATCAACAGCTCTGCATCTTTCTGGAGCGTCTCTCTGCCTATCTGTCAGGTTTCTCCTCGATTTTTTTTTTAAACGAGAGGCACTAACACTGTTCCGGTTTCTTTTACCAAATACTTGGATGGTAGAAGAAGGAAATGGGTTATTGGAAAAGGGGCTCCAGGGAGGATTTCCCCGTCTCCAAGGCTTCTAGCAGGGGCTTGCAGCTGTGTATTCCTCTGTTTGGCCTCGCCTGGGAGCTGTGGTTGTTGTTTGACCTGGTTTGTTTTGGGTTGTTGATCAAGCATGTCTTGTGTTTTGTTGGTGGCGCCAGTTCGTCTGGAGCAGAATGGTTCACACACCCCCTCTATTCATTCCTCTTCCACAGGTGTGCAGCAGGCAGAGCCAGAGGAGCACAGAGAGAGACAAATTAGAGAGGGAGGGGGAAAAGAAAAAAAAATCAGCCATCAGAGGAAAGGAAAAAAAATCAGCAAACCCTAGAATCCTTTTCATGGTCATTCCAAGAAAAAAAAAACCCTTCACCCTTTTTTGCACGTTCATAAGCATTTAAACATGATATCTGTTTTGTCTCTTCATTTATAGCAGCTGTGAATTGTACATTTCTGTGTTTTTTGGAGGTGGGGTTAAACTTTTGAGGAGAAAGTGTGACTGGACTGATGAATAGAAGATCAAGAGTAAATCAAACTTTAGCAGTATACTTTGTGACCAAGGAGCTGAATTTTTTTTTGAAGCTTTACTAATCTACCAGAGCATTGTAGATATTTTTGACATCTATTGTTTAAAATAGATGATTATATTGGGGCCAGGGAACTTTCTTCTCCCTGTGAGAATGTTACATATTGTATAGATAACTGAGTGACATTTCATACTGTGTATATATAGAGATGTTCTATAAGTGTGAGAAAAGTATATGCTTTAATAGACTACTGTAATTATAAAATATTTTTAATTAAATATTTTTTGTAAATATTATAAGTGTGTGTTTTCTTAATCTGTGGGAATATTTCTTTTGCAAAATTATTTTTCAGCTCAGTTACAGAGCTGACAATATGAAAATATCTGGAATGTCTCTTTTGTTTGGTTTGGCTTTTAATTTGTTTTTGTTTTGCCCAATGTCTTAGACTCGGAAGTTACAGTTATAGCTAGTGGTCCTGCATGACTGCATGAGATGTTTAATCACAAATAAACTTGTTCTGAGTCCATACAAAATGTGTTTTCTTTGATATAGATGGAAAACCTTGTATTTGTACCATGCATTCTGAAAATACACTGTCAGTTGAGGTACAGGACAATTTAGTGTATTATATAAGAAGAGCATTTAGAAGGAATATGCTGGCTTTTGTTTGTTTTTCTTTTAAAGATACAAAAAGTGGATTCTAAAGACTTTTTTTGCATATTGGTTCGGTAAATGCTTGGATCTTTAAGAGTGTAAGAAATCTGTTGTTGCATCAAAATGAAAAGAAATTTACTCACCAAATTTCATTTTACACTAAAGCTTAATAATCACAAACTTACATGTCTGTACAGAATAATAAATTATAGAAACAAAAAATGTTCTCTGCTTGCAACCAAAGGACAAACTCCTACTAATAAACAATTACTGTTTCCTTTCTCCAAAGAATAATGATAGGTGACTGGGGAAAACAGCATAATGGCAAATCCTTCAAGCAGGGGTATGTTGTAAGTCAATTTTCAAACGTTAACTTAAGTAGACCAAAAAAAAAATCTGATGGCCGCATCTAGATTATTTTTTATATAAAATGACTTTCACTACAACTGTGTTAGTTACAGTTAAGGAACTGTTAAGTCTCTTGTGATGTATAACTTTTACATGTGAACATTAAAGTAGATTTACCTGTCTCGTACTGTGATTCTTTGGCTTTATTTCTTCAGTCCTTCACATTTATTTGAAGGGTCTATTTTTAATTTCTTTTTCTTTTTTTCTTCTTTGGGGAAGTGAATTTTTCCAGACTAGATATTACTCTCAGGGCTATGTGAATGTTAGATATCTTCTGTAATCAGTAGCTTGCACACAAGTTAGATGGAATTTTCAGAGTAGGAGTGAATTAAGTAGGATTTAATTGGATGCTTTGTAAATAGTTGGACAACTCTGTGTAACATGGTTCTGTTTGATTTAAAAAAAGTGAGAGGATTTGTTTCAGATTACAAAAGAATCAGAAGTATTATGGGCCCAAGGAACTTTTTATTAGGTTGGACTCAAATATTTGTGAGAAAATGAAATATCACGGTCACTAGTTGTGAATTGAAGTGGCAATACCTCAGATAAACAAAATCGAACACTTTCTAAATAAAACCATAGTAAGGTCCATTAGACTTAAGCAAGTCCAAATCCTTTCTATTTATTTGAACTCTTTACACCTTCTCCATCATCAATTTTCCCCCAACCTGCAATGACACTCTACTCGTGTTTGATATTTATGGAATTTAATATCATTGATGTTGATTCTAGTCAAATCAAATACGGACTTGTTGAAATGAAATTCATTTTGATTTCGATACTTATTCATCCAGATAGTGTATCAAGAGAATAATACTAAAATATTCTGCTAAAATTCCAAAACCAAAGAATGCTGATGACTATATTCTTTTGTTTTTTTTTAAAGGAGGGGGAATTTCCCCCTTTTTTTATTCCAGTTTAGTTTTGGTGGGAAGTAAACATTTGATACCCAGCCAGTGTTTTATTTTAGTTGGACGTTTGTCATGCCTGGCTGCTGAATCTTACCTAAGCCAATTGACATACATAAGTTTTCCTGGTAGATTATAAATCTTTATTTAAAAAAAAAAGCAATGTCTTCCAACTTTTGTCTATTGGTGCTATATTTCTCTTATATCTGTTTAATCTGGAAAGGAAAAAAAAAAGTTTAAAGAACACAGCAACTGTTCCATAGTCTTTATTCCATTCAAGAGTTGACTTCTCCCACTTCTTCTCTACTAAGCAATAGGAAATGGGTAGCCATCCTTTTTCATATTGGTCAAGTTCTTGATTAGAAGGAAAAAATGTATTTGGAATCTATTATTTCATTCTGCAAACTAGATACAGAATCTATTATTTCATTCTGCATACTAAATACAAACTGCTCCTGATAACAAATGTTTGGGTGAAAACAGAAAAATTCAAATCAGTTATCTAGCTATTTGTAAATATCCAGATAATTGGTTTAATACCTAGAAACTATCTGGATATTTGACTAGAATTTTCCTTTTTCAGTTTGGATTCTTGGCACAGATTAGAGATAAAAAAGAAAGAGGCATTTATCACATCAAAAGGAAAAAATGTATCTCACACAGTGGGTGCTATTTCTAGGGTTGTTATAAAATCCTGACATTTCAAACATCTCTGATGTTTAAAAGTGAAAAATCTGCTTTTTCCTTTTAGAAAGCATAAATACTTAGGACTTTTGTAAGTTTGGCTTCAATTGTCAAGCTTTAACTGCATTGCTAAATCTTTTTTTTTCATAATTTTGTCCCTCAAAATCTCTAGGTTCAGGTGCCTCCTATAACAACAAATTGTCCCTGAATAGACATTATTTTGTTTGTTTGTTTTTACTTGACTTATACTGAGTTACTTGTTTTTTTCATTATCAAGGAGTTAATTTGATTGATTACTTCAATTAATTACACAATGTCTTCTATTATGTGAGGGAAAATGTAGCTCTATTTTATAAAATGTTATTCAAACTTAATTCAGCCCTTTGCTGAGTGCCTACTATGTGCAAGATGCCATGCTAGTTACTGTGAGTGGATGATTCATATCAAGGAACTGAAAGCAAAAGAAAATCCTAGTTGCAAATCTAGATGTTTTCCCTTTTCCCATCTGCTTCGTGGGCCATGGTCTCTCAAATGAAAGTTCTGGAATGTGATGGGTAGGAAACTTGACTAGAAGAATCCAAGTAAATAACTAACCATGAAAGCTGGCATTTCTGTAGCTCTTTAAGGCTTGGAAAGCAAAATCTGCCGAAAGGAAAATTTCTGATATCATACAGATACAAATTCCTTTACTATGCTGTCTTCCATACTTTGAATATATAGGAGCTAATTAGTGCAAATCTCCACTTTTGGTTCTGTTGGACCTAGCAATATGCCCTCCAGAGCAACCCCTGGGAGAAAGCCCTCCCATTTATCCTCCTCCACAAGGGGGTATGAATTCTTTCACTACAGCATAAATGTTGATTATAAATCTTCCCTCATGTACAAACAGTTTAAGTTTCAGCCCACGCATACAGAAATTATTCCTCTTACTACCTAGCTATTAAACTTAAGGTATTTTATGAAAATCTTAATGCTGCTTAAAAGAATCATGGTATAAGCAGTATTCGGATGTTAATTTGAGTGATGGCTATGCCTCATTCTTACAGCAATCAATATGAAAAAGGTGCTGATGGAAAGCTTTGCAAAGAAGAACCTGGTACATTTCCTTAATTAAAAAGTGGAGTAAAGATCAGTCATATATATCTAATTGAAAGCAATCTAAATTTTTTATTCAATTGTTTAAATATATTTTGTTTTCAAATACTTCCTTAATTAAGTATGCACAGTCACCTACAAAAATCTCTGGCCTGTCCTTTTCCTGAATAGCATCATATATGTGCAAAATCTCAACAGAACAAACTTTCAGATCTGAACCCTGTTGCTTATTTCTTCTGTTCCTACTAAAGCTAAGCAGTTCAGAAATGGAGGCTGATGAAGTAGCTATATAGCATTCAAAGGTCTCCATGGTGGGTTCACACAAGGGAACATGTGGAAGGGGTCCGTGCAAATTGAAGTTAATGTGAAAATCCCTTCTGTGTCAATGAAAAGAGTAAACCCAACATTCCAAGTAGCAAGAACAACAGACCTGTTCACACTTTACATTTCTTGGCTAGAAAGTAAACATAGAGCCCCTGAATTTAATTGTAGAAGTTAAAATATAAATGTCAACAAATTTTTCATCTTGATTTTCTTGTGTCTGAATGATTTTAACATAAAAATACCATACCCAAAAGAATTTCCCAAAAATTTGCATGGGAGTGGACTCCAATGGGCTTTCTCTGATAAAATAAGATACTATGTTGTAGTATGCACTCACCATTTACTTAAAGATATAATAGCTCCTTCTCTCAATGTATATCATGTAAATCATGTTTTAGCCATTTGAAACATACATATTAAAACTATACATCAATAGATCTTTGGAAGCTGTTAAGGTTTCTTACCATATTTAGAATTTTTCTTCAACATATATTGTTTACCTAATAAGTTATAGTGTTAATTGAATGAATATGGTAATGTAAGTATGTATTTTGGTAATTTTTTAAAATAAAAGATGAATCCATCAGGCTAGGGAAAAAAAGAAAACCTTCCATCATAAGAAATTTGACAGCAAATAAAATTGAATACTGAATTTCTGCATCACCCATATCACTCATAACACATTTTTCCCTAATGTTCCTTACCGTTCTTGCTAATATTTTAGTGCTTTATGGGATCACACAGACACATTCTTCTTTATAACATCTTTTTAGACTGATTTTGAGTCCGGTATTATTCTGTTGCCAATAGTCCCTGTGACAGTATGTTATCTGAGAGTAAATTGGTCATTAGGTGATTAATTAATTCCTCTGACCATGGAAGCCAGCCCCTGAAACTTCATTTTAAACTTATAACCTGATAGTCAAATTCATGTAAACAGAGGGAGATGGTTGCCATACACTGAAGGCTACTGTGACTTCCATTAGAAGAGCATTAGGTGAAGAAATTTAGAGTTCCCATGTAGACCCTTGAAGATTCCAAGGGAAATGTATACATAAATAAAACACTTTCAGTAGTGAGGTATAATGGAAAGCCTATTTAACAAATGCCTTTTGACTGACTATGCTTGGAGAAAAGACAAGTTCAATCCCAACCTAGTTGAAGTGTACCTTCTTAGCAGTGGGTGAATCATTCCTCTCAACTTCTCTGTTTTCTGATCCATAAAGTAGAAATCCCAACTTCCAGGAATGCTGTGAGAATTAGAGATAATGCAAACCATAAAGAGGTCATATTGTTGTAAGCTAACATGTCAGAAACTTATACTCAGTATTTGTGTTGTCTTTGGGAACATTTCACACCCACTCTTTGAGTCTGCTTCTCTCCCCCTGCCACAAGTAAAAGTGCAGAGGGACTTTCTCCTGTTGGAGAGAGTTACTGATTTGTTCAAACTAAGACAGTAGATAAGCCCAGAGGACAAGGCTCTGAATTTATTTTCTCCCAAGTCCATATACTGACACTGAGTCCACATACAGTCTTTGATCAGTCTTTGCCCCAGAGTTATGCAGTACAGTGGAAAGATTTGAATTGGGAGTCAAAAGGCCTAGGATCAAACCAATTCTCCTTCATTTACTGTCTAGATAACCTTAGGCAAGTCACTGTGCTCTGAGCCACCATCACCCCCTTCTCATTTATAAAATGAGGGGGTTGAATTTTATGTCTTTTCCTGTTTTAAATTCATGCTTCCCCGGCATTTTCTAAGTTTAGCCTCACATACTGTTTATAGACAGACAATAATGAATAACTTCTGGTGATTCTCTGGCTTGCAAACAAGGGAAAGTTTGCTTCAGTGGTGCATGCTTGGGGCAGCACCCCAACTTATAGCTGATTCATTGGGAAGTGACAAGTCAGGAAGCCACTGACAAGGCAAATTCGCCTTTACAATTATCCTTCCTTTTGCACTCTCTAGGGATACTTTGTTATTTTGTTGAAAAAATGTAATTTTTTTAAAAATCTAAAAAAAAAATTAAACTGGATCTATAATATCATCTATGAATGAAACTCCTGTCAAAGAACTTCTACAATCATGTATCAGAACTTTCTCTATGACTTCTTACCT